CCCCCCGCCCCCGTAGCATTTCTGCTTCTGGACCCCTGGGGGTGCTGCCTGCACTCCCCACCTGTCCGTTGCCCTCCACTCAAACTCCAACACCCACCCACCATTTCCCTGCAACCCACTTTCCTCCCTCCTGCGTTTTGGATCTGTGCTGCAAACAGTGCTGGTAACACTGGGATGTGCTAGTTACTGCTGAGCAGCGGTTGTACAGAGCCAAGGTCTTTTCTGTTCCTCACACTGCCCGGCCAGCGAGCAGGCTGGGGGCAGGGGGGGCACAGCCGGGACAGCTGACCCCTACTGACCAAAGGGATATTCCACACCGTATGAGGTCGTGTTCATAATAAAACTAGGGAGGAGGTTGGCGGGGGAGCTGCTGCTTGGGGACTGACAGGGTGGTGAGCAATGGCTTTCATTTCTATCACTTGCTTGGGTTTTATTTTTTTCTTTTTAAATTTATTTTTATTTTTTCCTCACAAGTGGTTGTTAGTTGTTGAACTGTTTTTATCTCAATCCATGAGTTTTCTCACTTTTACTGTTCTGATTTGCTCCCCCATCCCACCATGGGGATGGGGAGTGAGTGAGTGATTGTGTGGTGCTTAATTGCCAGCTGGGGTTAAACCACAACACAGGTAGGCAAGCCCTGCCTGGCCAGTGCTTTCAGCTCTCCATGTTATTCATACCATCTTGACAGGCCATCCTTGTTCTTCATTGCTGCTTTGTAGTGCCTTTTGCTCTGTAACCAGCAGTGCTCTGGCTGTGCAAACAGCTGTCTCCCAACGTCTGCAAAGCAACCCTGCTAAACACAAAGAGCAAAACAGCCACGGCACAATCTACAGCGTATTGCTCATTTGCAGATCAGCCACTTGCATCTGGTCTGCGCCTGCCTTCAGGATGCCTACTGTGTTGCTTAATTTTTTTTTTTCAAATCTCTCTCCAGCACCTGTCACTCTCACAACCACGATGCTACATGCAGACCGACACAGCAATCCCTGGGGCGTACTCCGTGGGAAAATAATCTGTTTGACAGGTTTCCAGTGCTGCTTCTCCGTAGGTTAATGGGTTGGGGGGCATGGATGGAAACAACCACCAGACTTATAAAGCAGTCAAATGCAAAGGACCAGAATGCTCGAGCCACTTGGATGCTTTTTGATTCGGAGGCAATGACCGTTACTGCCTGGGTTGCGAGTGGGAAAAGGGCAGAGAAATATAAGCCCTCTACGCCTAGTTAGTGTTGCCGTCTTCAGGCGCTGTGAGCGAGGCTGAGGTAGCAGCCATTGCTCAGCCGACAGAAGGCTCAGAACGGGATCCCTGAGGTGACGCTGCCGCTCGGCGACTGCGAGAGGGGTACTGCAGGTTGGGAGCGGCGCATGCGCGGAAGTGTGCTCTGTGCTCCACACTGCTGTCCTCCGTGGGATCTGGTCCCTCCGGCGCGCCGTCGGCCTGTAGCGCATGCGCGGTGCCCCGGAGAAGCAT